TTGGTTAGCCACAAAATCAGTTTCTTCTGAAGTGATTTACGATGACACCGTTTCCCCCCGCAACCCCTACACAGAAGCCAGTAACCACTTTTCGAGGTCTAAGTCTACACATTCAGAAATAAAAGAACAAATTATTACCAAACAATACAGACCCACAACAAAGGCAAAGAGAAAGTATCCCTCCCCTCACCCCCATTATTTAAAAAAAAAAAAAATTAATTACAACATTTAAAGTAAGAAATATTTTCTTAACAAGATAATCTTGATAATGTTGCAAAGTCAAGATCATCTCTTCAGTATCAAATTCAGCCCTGTTATCTAAAAACACAATTCATTTATGCAAGGTTTTAAGGAATGGTTAGTCAGAAATAATATTAAAAATACAGACCTCAAGAAATCTGAATTTAAAGAAAAAAAACCAGAATTTATATTGGTTACATTTACCCTGAAACAATGTTGTAGTTGAGAGCTGGGTGATCTTTTGATACAGGAGGTACAAGAGGCTCTGGCTGCCATTCTTCGATTAGTTCTTCTTTTTCCTGAACAGGAGAAAAGAAATACCATTCAAAAAGAAACTCCATTAAAAAAGACATTAGGCACTAATAAGCTGTTCATAAATAGTTGTATGAGAAATTACATATGCTACTATGTGTCACCTTTCTGAGTCATTTAGAATTGATACTATCCCAGCATGTTCAACTGAGGGGCTCTGAATTCTTCAAAGGGAAGGAGATGCACAGAAAGATAGCCCAGTTGTGCCTATGCATTAAAGATCCCATGATACGATAATAAGGAGAAGAGATACTAACTTGGTGTCTCTGACAAATTGTAATCAATACTGTTTCGCGCCATCCATTAATTATGAAAATCTTCCTCTACAGTTTATGTAATTGAATAGAAATTATATAATAATTTAATATAAATTGACTCACTTTATGTTCGCCAGTCTTCAACAGTGCTGTTTAAACAACTGTGGCATTAAAATACTTAGCAAAATAACACATATGTGAGCACGACACAATAGAGAAAAAACGCCAAATACTCAAGAAATGGTAACAGTATCTACTAAACCACGTATCTCCCAACCTAACCATGGAGGAATACTGAATGTACATTCATTTTCAATGTGCTTTAACCTATTTGGAAAACCCCAGCTAGATGACTTTCCAAAGGACATGCAATGGACCAGCACAACAGGTGCGTTAGACTAGTTCCACATAAATCAGCAAACCCTCAGGCAAATCAACAAAACTGTTCTTCACACCATGAAAGCAGAACTTTCCTGGCAGATTACTTACTAGTACCGCGAGACACACCTAATAACATATTTGTTAACACTAACTTTGAATGGTATCACTACAATGGGTTTATATTTCTATATTATTTCAAAAAGTAGTAGAATATTTAAGGCTACTCATCTCAATACCAAAAGAGAAATTCTGCAATCAGTTTTCGAAAACACCACAGCAATATCTTTTTCCATTTTTATTTTTTCAAAAATGACTTTTCAAAGCCATGAGATCAAACAATCACAAGGAATATACATGCAATAATACAATTAGTCTCCTGCATTTGCACCACTTTCCTTTTACTGAGCTAATTAATAACTGTTTCTAGGTATTTCCACAGTATTAATCAATATCCCAAGAGCTCCACAAAGGTCTATTTCAAAACACAAATGGAAATTTCAACAGCTCTGTATTTCAGAAAAGATCCTTTTTATGACCATAGTCACTTGTATTTCTAATATATTGCAGACGTACTTTAAATAGCTTTTTATTTAACATTCTCATGTTAAGATTTCTCACTGAAATTTAACCCATGGGGCATATATTTTAAAGGAAATAAAATGTCATTAATATGTGCAACAGAATTAAATATATTCAACATTTTGTAGTGGCCACACTTATGTTAGAAAAAAGTACTTAGTTTCTTCAACCACCATAGGACAGACTCCAGCTGGAGCCTTGCACACAGTTGTGTATGCGTTGAAATGCTGTTCCACATATTAAGAAAACCATTGAAGTAAGGGGTTTTACTAATTTACCCTGTATTAGTGCCATTCGTAGTATGTCAAATAGCGAATTTTAATGCTTCAATTAAAAAAATCCAAACAGGTAACTACGCACCAGAGAACGGAACAATAATAAATTGAGCTGTCTGTAAACACTATTGACCACTATTCATGACTGTGTTCTGTTATCAAAACTCACGTTTGACACAACTCAGCAAATACCTCAAGAACCCTATGGAAGAAGATTACCAGATGATACACTCTATAAAGATTAATATGCAACACAGTACCAAAATGGTGGAAAATTAGTACCCGAATTCAGGTTAACCTCAGAGTGCACCCCCAACCATAACCTTGGTATGCTAAACTCTACTGAAACAAGACAGAGTGGCAATTCCAACCTCATCTCAGAACAAGTACTAATGTGCATCTCTATACCATACTGATATTTGAAAAAAAAATTCAAAGACTTAATGTAACACTAAGTGTGCTGACTCACAGCACTGCAAGGCAGCAGCTGGTACAGTACAGTCCTCTCCCAGCCACAAACACATTCCTGTTCCTTGTGTTGGTGTAGGCGGTTACAAAACCAGACAATAGCCTTGTTCCGAAAATTTATCCAGATGAAAACTGAACCAGCAAAAGCAGGATGGCTAAACTAGACCCCACAATACAGGATCCCAACCTGGATTGGCTGATGCTATGGGAAAACATATCCTGAGTTACAGTTGCCCAGTAGTGTCTCACACCTTTTCACAAGAGTTCAAAAAGACTTCTGAAAATCAGAAAGCAGGATGCATGCTCAGGCAGCCTTCACTCTGCTCCTAAAACATGTGGTGTCAAAAGGCACCAAATACCTGACATATCGTGTAGCTTCCATCAACAATTTTGTGTTCATTTTAGAGCACAGTCAGGGGTTTTTCTGGTTTGGTGGTTGTTGTTGTTTGTCTTCATTAGGAAGCAGAATAAATCAGATGAGAAGTGGTGCAGCCTATCAGTTATGGAAGGATAAATAAGAAAATGTCATCATTAGATGACATCAAAAGTCTAAACGGGAAGGCCTTAAGAAGCATGGTGTTTATTCTGTTTAAGACCAGAAAACAAAGAACATTCGAACAGCTTTTATAAAACATAGTTCAAAGGCAGAGCTGGCAATATAACATAGCTTTTTTTCAAAGTGGGCAGAATTAAAGCTTATACAAACATGTACTTAGCTTTTCCATTTAAGTCTAATTTTTTGAACCAAGCATACAAAGTATCCCTAAGCAGCTTGGCACCTGACACATAATTTCAACTAAAATCTTTCTGCCGTGGAGTCTAGCAGAAAGAACTCACAGTGTAACATCCTCATTATATAATTGATTCACTTATTTCTACTCAGTTCACTGTACTGAAAATATCCACTTGATGAAAAGAATTAACTCAAAACTTCCAATTTCCATTCTCTTAGGCTGTAATGTATGCAAACTCATCTCTCAGCTCTTCCTCTTTCC